TTGACAATGATGGAGATCCAAATGCTGAGGATGGAACATAAAACAAACATATGAAGTTTGCACATGTATTCAATCTGAAAAAGGGTTGCCTTTTGTGGTCGTCACAGTTCACGTCCCCATCTGCAAAAGGCTGGAGGACGAGGACCACGATGAGGATGAAGAGGGGATAGTGAAGATACAGATGACAAGGAAGATGAAAAAAAAAGGTGAAGCAGGAAAATGAGAATGAGGAGAGTAAGGATGAAGAGAGATACGAACGAGGAAGAACAAAGGGACTGATGATAACAAGGAAGGAGTGGTCATATCCTGTCAACTCACCTGGTCTCCTCCACAGTACCTATTGGTACAGTGCTCTGTGGCTTTACACTGGCTTTGACAGCCACCATGCCTTCTCCTCCACTACTAGTCCTCTGGTATCTTAGGTACCAGTCCTTCGTGCTAGGGTTGAGCTCACTGACATCCAGCTGAATTACCCCCTGGGAATTCTTCAGGAGGTTGATGGCACTGGCATAGCTCAGACCAGCCACACTACGACCGTTGATGCTTTCAATACAATCCAGGACCTGGATGGACATTGGGGGAGTTGAGTAATTCATTCAACTGGCCATTTGACCAAACATCTCTGGAAAGCAGACCAACATGTCATCTTTTACACTTCCCCATTCGTCAAAAATACTACAAGCTTGATGGAAGGGTTTTGGTTTCAAAATCAAAACTTCATCATTTTTTGTTTCCTGACACACTGCGATAGCATAAAGATAAACACAAATGTTACAGTATCACCAGTAGGAAATATTTAGAAAAAGTTGTGTTTATGTGTAAAATACATGAAGGTTCTTCCTTTATAATATTTTTGGCCTCGGTAAGATTATTATGTGAATCCTAGCTTTTTCAGGCTGCAATGTTTTGTGAGCATGCCATTTATCGTACCATTTCTATAAACTGAGGTCCAGAAAGGGTGGCGGTATTTCACAAACAACAGATGGGAGTTACCTTGAGTTGTTTGTTCCTATCTGCCTGGCTGCCTGGATTAATGGAGGCAATTATGAGAGGCATATCCCCCATGTCACTGCCCTTACCCCCAGCAATGCTCAGACCTAAGGACTCTCCTGGTATCTTCCTAAGCTCCACGTGTCTCACTGTGTCAAGCAAGAAAAGCAAGTACTGATCAACTAGGGAGGGGTACTTACAAGCACGACTATGGTTTGCTGTGTGCGGGCCTGCAGTACAAGGCAAGACAACATTGTTTGTTTTTTAATGTCCTAAGCAGTGGTAGCCCAGACCCTAAACACAACATCTTTCAGACAGTTTGGGCCGAGGATGAGACCCTTGAACAGCAATAAGAAATTGGGCCCACTAGCTACAAGGGACTGATTGATTCTTCAAGCCAATACCATCAGCATTCTATACTTGTTGAGGAAGGATTGGATTGCTTTGTTTTTTTCTTGAGGAGGAACGTCGGTGTGGAGGATTATAGGACATCAGAATAAAAGAATGTATGACAAATGCAAATACTGAGTAAGGTTCCTTGATGACTAATTTATTATTCTGCAGTGAAATCAATGATGTCACCTTGTGTACCCTGAGCAGGTGACTGACTCTTGGCTCTTGGGGCCGGCTCCTCTTGTCTGCCTGTCTTGCCAAGGTCTTTTTTACGGCCAATTTCAAACAGGACATGTCCATCAGATGACTGCAATGCAATACATTATCTCATGTCAGTGGAAATTAAATGTAGGCAAGAACCAAAAGAGGAAATAAAATAAGACCATGAATCGGTAGTCAAAGATTCCAAGCTTTACAACACACCTCAAATATCTCAAATACATCTATATTTAACTATCCTGGGAGGAATTATTGTGGAGTCAAATGAAAACAGATGCATATTCAGGAACCAAAGGCCGTTCAAAATTTGTAGACCGACAAAATTTTAATGCAATTGACAACATAACTTTAAGCTGATTTATGATGCGTTCTCCATTCTCCGATTCATTTCCTCCTCAGATTAGCAAAGTGTAAACATTTGCCCATGTGTGCAATTCAACAGATATGCTTTTGAACATAAACCGACAAGATCCTCTGGAACCCCCAAAATGTTTCAGAGGATTTTGTAGAAATTGAGCTTCATGCCCTTCAAAGTTTGTGTCAGGTACATGTATTTCTAGCAAAGTTCTTTAGAATTAATTCACTTAATAGGTAAGAATTCATTCATATTTTTGCCCTTTAAATGTTTCTGAGATTTTTTCTCTATTTTAAATAGACTTACATTTTTCAGATTTATCTACTTAGAATCTGAACAGTGTAAAGAAGTCTGTACATGTAGCTTTAAACACTCTAGCTCAAAGTCTGAAATTCATGATCCTTTAAGTCTCTGATCTTTTAATGCTGTCCCCTCAAGAATGTGAAATCAATGCCACTGTCAACTCGATGGTAATCCTGCTATTCCATGCTTACAAGTTCTCCAGTTGAAGGCATAAATGCCTGCTTCATTCTCAGGACCCTCCAGACTACATAAAAATCAGTTTATGAAGAACTATTGTCTAGGCCGCATTTGATGTTTCCTTGGCTGCGACCAGCAAACAGCTCCATGCAGGATTGACAGATGATTTAACACAGCAATGGTGTCTCTTTGCATATGTAGGTCCATACGCATTAGGTACAGACCTTGCTGAGTACACATGACAAACTTATGGTGATAAGTAAAGCGTCATGTATGCACACAGTACATGTACAAGTGGGGTGAAGAAACTTCCCAGCAAGCCTGTCTCATCTTTGCCAATGAGAGGCTACAGGTGCTCCTAGTCTAAGACTAGTGGACAAATCTTAGACATATGACTGCAGCCACTAACTACCTCAACTTGTATAGGAACATGTCATTACCTACCAGAGCAAGAAATCACATGCAGCCTGTGTTGAATTTGGCCACATCAGATTTTATTTAACCCAAACCCAAGACCTGCGGTTTGTATGGGGGGGGTCATTTCTCTCAGAATGGCAAGTTGTGCCATTACTTTATAGTTTTTCTTCCATTATTGCACCTACTCACCTTGAGCAGAGAAGCCACCTCTTCTCGCGTAGCATTCTGCACATCTTTGCCATTGATGGACAGGATATGGTCACCAGCCTTCAACGATCCCTCAGCATGAGCAGCACTACCTCGAAGAATCATAGAAATCACCACACCTCGCCCAGACCTGATCAACAAAGCAGAATAAACATGTCAACTATTAAAAAAAAAAAACCAAGGTTCACCAGCAGTGACCTAAATTAACCAATCATGCTCACTTTGCGTGAGAAATATTGTTACATTTTCATGCTTTTTTACTTTATTCCTAGCAGTGTTGCCATGTTTTATTTGAATTGGCAAACAGTGCATATTTTGAGCTCCTTATTAGTGATGAAGATCAGCATGTCAGTTGTTACTGTGCATTCAGTGGAAATGCCAATAAGCAAGACCATGTCTTGATCTAATGTTCTTGGGCCACAATTTCAATTGTTGGCACTGAAAAGCTACATGTATACTGAGTGGCTGCATACAGACAACACAGTGCCAATACAGAATGAGAATATATGCCCTAATAATTTGATTATGGGGCTGAGCAACATGACCACATCCCACCCACCGCTATTCCCATTTTGTATTAGTTACCCAAAATATCAATCAATACATCCTCCATTCCAGCAGAGCCACTTCAACCACTTACCAATGGCATTCCACAACAAAACACGCAACAAAAAGAAGTCTCATTCACAACTAAAAATACTGACTTTCTGAAACAGCAACATATCTCAACCTCAGTCGTTCATAAATGTGGACCTCACAAATGTTGACCCTTGGTAGTTATTTGTTTAAGATTTGTGCAAAATTTCTTGGCACATCATTGCTTTTTTAAACTCCAAGACAACGTCATGGAGTGATATTCACAACACCAGCCGGCCACAGACACTTGAGAGTTCAATACACTCCACCTCTACAGACTAGTGTGAGCTTTTGTGAGTGCATAAATCACTCAAGCAATCACTTTAAATGTACATGTACTCCGTGTTACAATGACACAGGAAATCCCTGTGTGTTTACATATTACCTAGCGTGAAGAGGTTAACAAGTAAAATCAGCGCTCAAAAGGAGCAGTGATTTGAAGATGAGCACCAAAAGTCCCTTTATAAATTTTAATATAAATAACAATAAAGCAGAGGTAGGCAGGCTGGCCATGTATATATACATGTAATTTGTATGTAAACAATTTTCACAATAAAAGTTACTTTCAAATAGCATCCATCCTTGCAATTTTCCCCCGGTCATCAGCGCCAATCTACATGTATACCCTTGGGGAGGCTAGGAACAAGACTCTTTCGGCATACTCTGTTTGTGCAATACCACTTGTAATATTAAGTACAATTTCCCTAGCTATGTGCATGCATACGTTTTGCCTACTACATTGAGTCCTAAGCTCCTCCCACGGGTGTGTCGGAGTTCCACGCTCAGCATCTCATCATACTCATCCTCTGGTTTCTCCTCCTCCTCAACCTCTGGCTCCTCCCCCTCCTCATCCACAGCCCCCTGACTCATAGATTGCTGATCACGGAAAACCCTCAGGCAAACCTGGCTAGGAGACTGGCGCAGTGCAGCAATGGCCCCATCATGCTTGATATTAGTCAGGTCGATGCCATTTACCTGCAGTAGAGGAAGTACATAATTGTCATAGCATCCTGGTTGTACGCCACCGCCACCTGTAGAGTACTAGGGCACAACTTTCTGAAACAAATATAACCACAGTGTTTGATATGAATGCATGAAATATATCACGTTTTCAAGTCTTTGCGCTTTGGATAGGGAACATGTAGGTAGGTAGGTAGGCAGCGCTGACGCTCTGCATTGGCTACACATACAGTGAGTGACTGGGTGAAAGCACATGAACAAATGTTGCTTGATTTTCACAGTATGGCTTTCCTACGGCGCACCACGTACGTCATCAGTGGCAAAATCTTTTTCGCAAGCTCTCGGACAAGCACTGAGCATGCAGTGCTTATTAATATACGTTGGGTAAGGGCAAAACCGTTATATATAATTAAAATCTTGTGACTTTTTTACATGGCTGCTACAGAATGCTTTCGGAAGAAGTTTTAATTTTTCTTGATAGTTTTCCAGAGCGACTTTTGTCTTTTTTGTCCAAGTGTATGCGACTGTTGATTCCTATACCATAAACATGCAGGTGTTATGAAGGGAATTTCTGTAGCAAAAGACAGAAAAGTCACAACCGCAGCCACCTTGCCTCCCCCAAAAAATGCTTTTTTGGCTGTGAATGTTTTTGCCACTAAGATGCCAGGCCTCCATGCAGCTGGGGTTAGTAAGTGACTGGCAATATTGGAAGCTCAATTATCATCTACATTTAGACAGAAAAAGTGATTGGACAAAATGTCTTAGCATGGTCAAATTTGTTCTGCCATTACAAGCGGCTGCTTGGACGTTTAATGTGATCGCTTGAAAAAGGCACTTTTCCCGTATGAAAGTCAGATCATCAACATAAAATAAAAATACCTTATGGTGTCACAGTTCAAAAATATTGCAATAATGATCATGATCAACGTGCTACACTCAGCTCACTACACAGTATGCAGCATTTTGGCAACATGCCAACATGTGTCACACATGGTGTGGTGCCAGATGGCTTCATTATGCATATCAATCCTGCAAAAATACCCATACACTTCTTACTAGGTCACGACCTCAATGAAAGTTGCAACGCCATTGGCTGATTTTTTTTGTCTCCTGATGACCTCACTTTTTCAATAGACTTGATTTCAAGTCTGGAACTATAGAGGTACTGTAGAAGCCTCCATGCTGGAACACATGCAACCAAGTACAAATCCCATAGTGCTTGGACGATACGATGGAGGCATAAAAAGTCATTGAACAAGGTTACTGAAATCAACTGAAGTGCAACTTGCTTGGATGCAAATGCTTGGTGCATGAGACAGCGGTCCATAAAGACTTGGCATGAAGTCTATTCGTAAGGAGTAACCTGTTTCTCCCAAAACTGATATGATGATCAATGTCTAAATACAATTTAGAAAGTTTCATTAATTACATTAAAATAGCAATGTCCACGATGCTAGTGGGAAGACTGACAGCATTTGAATAAAAACTATTTTAGTCTGCATTTTGTACGTCCTTCACAAAGCAGTATCACTTGTTTGATAAGATAACCACAGTGATGGCACAGTGATGGCACAGCGAACCAGCAAATTGACCATTAATGGCTTCCAACATGAAAGACAAGAACATGTGTGGCGCAGGCAGTTTTTTCGCCGAGCATTAGCTGTGTTCTAGAATTTTTCAGATAAACCTTTTCCCTCCAGTATTCAAACAGGAGGAACAAAAGCTCCCCGGGTCCGAGTCAACTTCACAATTATACCAGCTCTGTGCACACCTCATACAGTATGGGTACATCCAACTGAATATTCATTGTCTTACGTCTTGAACTACATGCAACTGCAGAGGTAAATACATTTGGTGTGGATATGGTACGTTACAGACTTCAACAAAAATAACATACTCTACATGTACATTATTGTACATGTACAAGAAGGGTACATGTTAAAGAGTCTCATACACACTTCATGTACACAAACCGCTGCATTAGAGTCTGAGCTGGTGTCATGCTGTCATTGGTTCAATGCTGTACTGGCGATCGGCCAGGGATTGAAAATTCTTTTGCTCTGATGGTCAGACGCACTATATTCCTGTGCCTTTGTATGTGTACGGTGAAGGACAAACCATGCAGTTCTAGATCTGGGGGTACTTGTACAGTATGTATGTTCTTTTGATTTGTTGGAAGAGTCATCCTGACCTTTGGACTTGAAGGCTTGGAAAATTTATGTACATGTTTCAGCAAAATAGGATAAAATGTTCACTTAAATGTCTGAAATAAAATGAATGTGTAGTGGAAATTGTGGTAGCATCCCATGCTGAAGTATTGTAGGCAATACATGTAAGCCTACCTTAATAAATGATAAAGTGAATACGGTAAATTTCTTTAAGTGAATTATTAAACTAAATCCTAACACAAGGTAGGTACATGTACTACGTCAGCACACTTGATGAGTATTTTGGTTGGTTCCTGTACCTGAATCAGCTGATCTCCTGGCCACAGTCTACCATCTCTAGCAGCTGCTCCATGCTCATACACCTCATGAACCACCACAATGCTCTATGTGTAATGAGAGAAAGTGATGATGGTAACAAGATTTGGAAAGACAATCTCATTGGCCAAAATCAAAGTAATGTTATCAACCCATGCAATCCCTGTAAAATATGTGCATGTATGTGCAATGGGATAACTCAAACAACCTCAAATGCATATGGGAGCGTCTCAAATGTTGGGAATGTTCACAGGACATTGGAACATTTCCATTTGGAAGGCAGGCATTCCTTTGGAACATGCCATGTTCCGTTGGGAACAACAGGAGTGTTCTATGCCATTTCCCTAATGGAATGCTCATAGCTGGATAACAGTACTCGGGCACATATTTGTCCATTTAGTGCAAAGCAGGAACACATAGCCTCATTCAATGTTCTGAATACGTTTTTTTTTTAACTTTCCGACTGATTTTACATCATGACTGGTATATTACTTTTTTACTAAAGTTTTCTGTTTTCAGCTGTTAAAGTATGACGCCATGATGTACATACAAGTATAACAAGACAAATCATTTTGTTTTAGCTGATAGGATTTTAACAAGAGGAATGCTTTTGTGTAATGTGTTGTTGGTCTTGTCCCCCACCCTCAATCATTCTATCCCTGTATCTGCAACAATTTGCCAATCAGGGTACTGAAAAAGTATTAAAGATTTTTAGATCTCAGGTACTACTCGGACCAGGACCTATAAGCAGTGAATAAAGCTTTAACACATGATGCAACATTCTTTCTGAAATTTCACAATAACAAGTTACATCATCAGTTGTGTCAACGCTGCCGCCCAAATAAACAATCACCAGTCAATTCCATTGTAATTACGCTCAAGTTGTACCAAATCACAGTACAGTGGAACATCGCTTTACCGAACACCGCTATAAAGAACTTTTGGCTGTACCGAACATCGTCCTTGGCTCCCAATATTTTGTGCACAAAACCTACCGAATATTATGCAGTTGCAAATCAAATGAGATTTGCCACAGCATGCATCAGAGATCGATCCTGAGCGGTAGCTTCACGGCTTTTAGGATAAACTAAGTATCAATTTTGTAACTCAAGATTTAATGAAAAAAAAAATAATTAACAGATACATTTCTAGAAACCTCAAACGTGAATGCAATGACAGGCAAAACATCACAAAAACAGCTATTCATAGTATCACAATAGGGTGCACTTCAGTTAAACAGTAGAGGGCGCTATTTAACATGGCAACAAAATATTTGGCAGTTAATTTTGCTATACCCTACGACCGCTGTACCGAACATTTAGTGTGGACCCCGTTGTGATCGTTATAGTGGTGTTCCACTGTAAACATCATTATTAGCACTCTGAAAACAAGCACATCCCACCCTCAAAGGATGCGTATTATTGGCAAGGATGCCATTTTCTGACAGAACACAAGTACAGATTTGCAGAGACCAAATGTATTGTGACTAGCTGTAGAAATAGTATGCGGAACACTGCATTCGGAACAGTTCCAATGGAACGGCGTGTTCCCAATGAAACTCTGGAACATTTCACTGTGGAAACACACCATTCCAGTGAGAACGTTCCAAGCAATCCAAATTTTGAGACACACCCTAAGCACTCCACAGAGCACTTAAGCTGCAAATGCTTCCCCTAACTCTACAAAGATTTCTCTAAGGGAATAAATAAGTGCTTGGCCAGTCGACTTAGGAGAATGGACAAAACTAATGCCCCAAGTGCAAGCGAGGGCATTATCAGAGAGTCAAAAGAAGTCAATATACGATAAAGTTTCAAGGAATTTGTTCAGGAATTTCGCTTTCATTTTCCTGAACACCCCCCGTCCATTTATTGGTATATTCCTTGCGCAAGTAGTCCAGAAGAGTCTCTTCATATGGACTTAGAATGCGTGTGGCAAATTCTACATGTTGCGGTGCATCAAGACTCTTGATCAATAGGAATGGATGAAACTCTCTCATATTCAGGTGACAGCAAGTTTTCACATAGTGGGCATTATCAAATCACAGTTGGCATTATCAAATGTTAATAAACTGAAACATTGTACATTGTTGAATCAGGAAACTAAGGTATGAATAGTTATCAACATGTCAGGATATTCATTTTCATCTTAGTCTCCTTACCAGCTGTGTATCTGTTCCTCCAACGATGCTAAGTCCAAGACCCGTCTTGCCTTTGTCAATGATGATGTCTGTGGGTTCACCAGGCATTACTGGGCAGGTTAGAGGGTCTGGCCTTGTAATGGTTGGTTCAGGAGCAGTGATGGGTGCAGGGTCAAGGGTTGGGACAGGGTCAGGGGTTGAGGCAGGGTGAGAGGTTACCACAGGTACAGAAGCGGATTCAGTCGGTAGAAGGTCTGGTGCTGCAACTTTATCCAGGCCGCCAACTTCCTTTGCAGGTTCTGCAAAATGCAAGTTTTAGAAAAGAGACAAGTCATTCATTGATGCTGAGGACAATAGCCCGGTTGTACATGTATGAAGCCTTAAGAATTTTACTTTGCCAACACTATGCACCTAAAGAAGCAGACTGAAGTAGATTGCTTTAGTATCGTAGTCGAGTACTTTTCAAGTACCAAGTTCTTTACCAAAAATATAACTAGTTAGGAGGCAGCAACGCTGAAGTACATGGGCATTTGATGGTACATGTACACGCACAAATGTAAGATTACAAAGTAAAATGCTGACTTCAGACTCTCACTGTTTAATAAAAATTAAGTTTTTAGGACAAATGTACTTGAAAAGTACTCTGCCAAGTACTTTCAGAGTACTTTTTCACCTTAAAACTTAAATTTTACAAAACTGGGAGTGTCCAAAGTCTTCTATTTAGTATGTAATCTTACCTTTGTGCATTTATCATCACATGCCTGTGCATTCTAGCTTTACTCCTTCTTACCCAGTTCAATATCTGGTAGAGAACCTTGGTACCGTACTTGAAAAGTACTCGACTACAACATTGGATTGCTTAGTGATCAAAATACAGCCTCCTGCATTTCACTGATGTAGAGCCAATGATTTTCCGTTTCAAAATGGGTATTTTCCGTTTCGCCGAATCCCGAATTCCGCTTCAGAAAATCAAATTCTGCTTCATAGCTTCGTAAGCATGAAATAGGAGAGTAAGTTTGAAACTATGGATAGAAATCATTTGCCCAACCACATCAGCCCCCCCAAAAAAAGAAACAAAAATAACAACAATATTGTTTGGAAACACTCTGCAATGTTTCCAACTTTTTAACAAATTTCTGTAGTGAAAATTAAAAAGAAAGACAATAAATACTGCACACCCCACCCCTTGATTTCACACCGGCGCACAATTACCAAAAACGTGCTACCCAAAACGTGCTGATTAATCAACGGACAATTCATGTGCGACTCCTCGCGTATGAAATCAGATTACATACATGTACATGTAGATGTACAGTGAAGTCACAGGGTAGGTCTTGCATGCAACAGTCGTTGATCACAATATGTTAATGTTGGACATCGACCCGCCATTTTATTTGGCAGTTGTGCGACAAAAGTCAGAAAGTTAACATTAAATCTGAGCCTTGAAATGCATGTTTGTGACTGAAAACTTCACTCTTTATCGAATATTTCCGAGGGCCCATTCAGTTATGGTACACCAAGCTTACTAGGTTTCGTTTAATTCAAGAAATATGGAATTAGTCTTCTGTTTTGCTGCTGCAGTTTCATCATTTTGCCATGTGGTACTAGCCTTGTCTCAAGGCGCCCATGCGGATTCACAGACTAAATTCACCACGTGTGCAATAGTCATATGTGTGAGTAAGAACTTGTTTGCGCCTTGATTTCATTGCTAGTACGGTGCGCGTGTGAACGGCCAATGTGTGTACATGTACAGTGTGTATACACAATGTACTGTACCGCACCGCTGTGCTGTGCCGGCTGCTGCTGCATACATGGGGCTCACACACGCCATAACGCTTGCAAGTATCGGCACCGGCATGGCGCGGACGGCCCAACCATGTGGTGGAGTGGTGCAATTGAGCATGTTTCCAGCGTAATTCGTTAATTAACCCCTTCGCTACGAAGGACTGTTACTACCACACCGTTGTGTGAGGATTAGTGCATACCACACATACAGTCTATTCACCATGCAGCTGCTGGTTCAATGGGGCCTGCTGCTGGACAAAGCAGTCCAGCCAAAATAATCCTGCCATGAAGGGGTTAAAAGCAAGCATTTGAAAAGGGTCTGGTAGGCATTTATTATTTAGTTCTTTGCAGAAAGTTTTCTTTACTTTCAAGTCATTCATAGAGGGAAATTTTGCAAGTTCCTTTTCAAGCAGTGGATTCCGTTTCAAAGTATTGATTCTGGAAACTCATTGGCTCTAGTGATGGCAAAACTGTGCAATAAGATATCACAGCAGAAAAACTGTCTGCAAAAATTTAGAGTGCTACTGGAGTCAGAAATGGAGGAATATATACACAATGTTTAAATGTTAACTGCCCTGGGAAAGCATGCATGCATTTGATTGAATATGTTCAAAATACCTGTGATCTTGAAATGTTCTGTTATTTTTGCCAAAAATAACAAAACATTTAATAATGCCCTATAAATAGTTCAAACAAATACTGATTATATGAACAGAAGATTCTACGAATGCAAAGAAATCCATTAAAAAATAATTGAATTCTTTTCACAGTTGTCAAGAGGTTGTTTTAATAATTTATACAGAAAAGGATTCAGATATTAAACAACCTTGTCTTCAAATGGTCCTATTAGGCAAACAGACAAATTGCACATAATTTATGCCGGATCTACGAAAATATGGTGACATTTGTCATTGTTTTTGTTATATGGGTAATTCCAGACATTAGGAGTCCAAAAGTGTGACATTTTGTGTCCCTGTTCTGACCTCTTGTTATATGACATGGAAATATTACTGGAATTAATTTCAAACTATTACTATTTGTTTGGCAGGTAATTTGCATTAATTCATCACTCTTAGAAATTAGAAATTGTGTTCTGAACTTACAAAATCGTACGTCAGATGTCACAGGGCCACACACAAAAATGGACCCCTATTTTCTGAAATTACCCATATACATCAAATTCACAAGGACACTGACATTTGTTAGAACTGTTTAATTCATAATTCTAGGTTGTCTAAACCTTCAGTTATACTCTTCGGAAGTTATTAAAACCCACCTTACCTCATTTTGAGAAATCAAATTTTGAAGTTCTGATTGAAAAAATTCATTGAGATTACACAAAATGGACTGACTGAGAGTTTGCAAATTAAAGTTGTGATTGTATCGAACAGAATAATTAGGATAATAAAACTTAAAACAATGTTTCAATAACATCCAAAAATTTGGAGAAGAATCTGCTGGCATCTCTAAAACAAGTTCAGTGACATTACACAATTTTTCCTGAATCACATTACACACAGCCATACCAGGAAATTAACCTACCACTTTCTTGTTTCTCAGCTACTGATGACTGGATGATTTTATCTGACTTTTCTTTTTCCTTTCTTGTCTCTTTCTCTTCCTTTCCTACTGCTATTCCTCCTTCTGTTGATCTCTCCTTATTCCCAGTCTCATCTCTTCTCTCTTTCAACTCATCTGCTCCTGCCCCTTTCACATTTGTCTGATCTATTGTTCGCTTCTCTTCTTTGATGCTATGTCCAGCAGCAAGGTTTTCAGAGAGGCTTTCCTCCGGCAAGGATGGGGGTGCACACTGTTCTTCACCGACGGTTGCTGTTACAACTACATCCTCCACTGGTTCATCTCGACGTTCCACTTGAGTTGGCCCTGAAGTTGGCTGTGGTTGGATGAAGGGCTGCTCTGAGCTGACAGTTAGTATAACCTAATCAATAAATGGACAGAGAGGGATTCTGCTCTTAAAGCACTTGAAAAATGTTTTCTGAAACTTAAGCACTGCCCTGCTGTCAATAATATTTGTTATAATGTCACAAATTCATGGCCACTTTTAAAAATAATCCTGTGTGAAAAGATATACTTAGAAGTCAGTGACTTTTACTTAATGTCACAGGAATTATAAACTTTGGATGCACATTATACAAATATTGCATGTTTCAAAAAGTTTCCTAATTCTGAGGCAAGGTTGAACACTACTGAAACAATACACTATGGGCATTAAATGCAACAGGTCGGGTTAATGTGTTCCCAAAAATTCATCTATAGGGGAAACAGTTATTACACTGTAAAAACAAGATTAAGTATTAGCTTGAAAACAAGAAAATGGAACTAAACAGGTGTACTTGAACGTCCATTAAACTTGTTTTCATAATTGCAAGCATCCTTCAAAAAATAATTGTTGAAATTTGAGATTTAGTGTCTGGCAATGTAGTAGGAGATTGTGGCATAAAGTACAAGCTTCTCAAGTCTTTCTCAAAAAGTCTCTTGAAACCTTACAGTTTCCACTCACTTCACAGTGACATTACTCTTATATTCCAACATTTTCCCCATTTAACTCATACATATTGCATAATGTCAACCTACCTGTCCTTTAGTGCCTTTGAGTACAACTATAGCCTCATTTTTCTTGGTATCCACAAGGTTGTTGCTATCTACAGATAAGATCTGATCACCGCTGCGTAGACTTCCTTCCTGAAATGAAGTGGAATTAATGACTGTTGAGTTTGATCAAACATTAAACAGTTATCTCATGCAACTCAGTAAGAATTTCTCAAAATGCATGAAGGGTCTGTGAACACTTGCTTTAAAACAAGTGGTTACTCTCAAATGAAACCATGACAAAACTGACTGAAGTGCACATGTTAAAACAGACATTGACATACTGACTCGCCATAGCAGCTGCTGAAGCACCGATAAACTCGCTTGACCTTTTTTTTTGCAACTGACATCCATTCCAACTGCTAAACTGTGGCATGCTGAAGTTTGACTTTTTAATCTTTTTATCTAAAACCTTGCCAAAGATTCCCCAATAGTTCTAAGTTACTAATTACTGCACATGAATCAAATCAGGTTGTGTTGATTTCTACTCAAACTTCAATGCCACATGACTCAATTTTTTTACAGAGATTTATCATCAAAATAACAGAAATTTGCCCATTTACTTGGATTCAAATACTGCTGCTGGTCAAGCAGATGACAGCACAGTCTTCAAATGTAATGATGACAGTGGACAATAAAGACACAGCTGCATAAATAGGTGTCACTTTAGACCAGTAAGACAATCTGACTTTGGTGGGAAATCTTCATGTATGGTATTACGCGTGTTTGCCTGACAGTCTTCCATCCTCCTGGCTTCAGGACTGTGCCAGACAGTTGACAGTCTACTTCCTCCGTGATTAAGGTGATTGTGTAGACATCTCTGTAAAGCAACAGCTTCCCTTATTACAAAGCAGTGATCTCCCTTAGGCCAAGCCACTGCGAGTGCATGCGTATTTGTGTGACCTTACTGGAACCATAGTTGTGGGAATTTACGCATGCATGTTGAAACATGGATGTTGTTGAAAAATGGATGTTGTGGTGACCAAGGATGAATTTTTGTCCACATCTCTTTGTCTTGACTTTCCTAACAAAAGAAACTGTCCCCTCAAGTGATAATACATCTGACGAGG